CTGGGCGGAGGAAACCCGGCGGGGAGAGGGGTCCTAGATTTGGAGCACGTGCACATAGGTGAAGCCGTTGAAAATACAGCCGGCATCTTGCTCTGCTCTCTTCCCATCTCCTAACGCCCCCTCCCTACCTCTGCACAGTCGCCTTCCAACACAAGCACAAGTAAAGGTAAGGGAGGAAGAGAAACTACCTCGTAGCCACCTTCACTCCAGCCCAGCCCCACGGTCCCGGTCCAGCGGGCTCCTGCGTTGCTTTATTTTCCTTTTTCTGAATGGCTGTAGTCGCCGCGATCTGCCTGGATACACGGACGACCTGCTTGGTGATTGGTTATCGCTGCTACCCGGAGACCGAAGGCGCCGGGCTCGCACAGGCGGCGGGTGAAGTCTGCCTGGTAACAGAATCTGATTGGTCAATACGGGAGGGAAAATCCAAAGTTGGTCTTATTTGAGTCAAGAGGGGGAAGTCCGGGTTAGGTTTCAGTTAAAACTGGGGTCGGTTGGGACTGCCGGTCCCAAGAGGTTCTTCTCTTAAAGGAACCGCAGGACCGAAATCCGTGCTCGGCGGCCTGTGGAGCTTTCTTGGCTTCTGCCCTCTCCTCTGGTTTTAGTTCGGCCGTCGGCGTCAGCGCTGCCGGAAGAAAATATTAAGTAGAGGATAAAATAAAAATTATGAGTAGAGGCGATGGAAATTCACTATAAACTCATATGACTCCCTTTTGATGTAAAACAAGTTGAACCATCTCGCCCCTCACAGCCCAACGCAGAGAACCCACCAACGCGACCAACAGGCAAACAGGCTGCCCTTCCTCCTCGGCGGAGACCTCAGGGCCTCCGCAGCTGCCCCACAGTAAGCTGGAACCAAGGAACCCTTAGTGTTCCCTGGTTTTCCGGGGTGCTTTATCCCAGGTGTTGCTAGCGCGCCCCCGCTCCGCCATCCCACTTGGTGGACGCTGGAATTTTGACTCATTCGTTTCCGCTGGAGGTGCCGGACCGCAGGGGAAACCCTCTGAGAACAGCACAGTTCAAGGGTTCTTAACACTCTTAGGACTTTTTAGGTCATGAATTAGATAAAAGCAGCGGTTTCTTTGCCGTGGAAAAGATGCACCTGCAAACCAAGTTTTTTTGTTTGTTTTGGCTTTTTTTTATACCGGGGATCGAACTCGGGACCTTGAACTTGGGAGGCAGGCGGCAGAACCACTGAGTTAAATCCCCAGCCCTAAATAGAAAAGAAAAAAAAAAATTTTTTTTAACCAAGTTTTGCATCCGATTTCAAGAAAGTCTCGGACTCCAGATTGACTTTACCCCCTACCCCCACTTCTGCAGTCCTGGGGAATTGAACCCAGTACTTCGCACTAAGCTGTATTCCCCAGCCGTTTTTCTTTTTTCCCCTGCCTCAGCCTCCCAGAGTGCTGGGATTAGAGGTACGCACCTGTGCCCCAGCTGACACCGTGCTTTTTTGGGGGCCGGGGGTACCAGGGATGAACTTGGATCCTCGCACTTGTGAGACAGGTGGCGGAACCACTGAGCTAAATCCCGGCCTGTGACACCCTTTTAAATGGATAGATTTATTCATCTGCCCTGCTATTATATCCCAAATTACACTTGTAGCCCTGACTTCTCCAGGCTCATTGTCAACCACGTACTTTTGTAAAGAAGGCAGTCATCGTGTCTGACTGATCTCATCACCATGACCTTTACAGCCTCCATTTCTGAGCTACCAGCTTCTGTGGGCTTTGGGGAAACTCAGGACATGAGTGAATAATTGAAAGTTTAAGTAAGAGGAGAGAAAGCATCGTAGCTATGTAAGGAAGATTATTTCAACAGCATTATGCAAGGCAAGCTGAGTGGAGGGAAAGACCAGAGATGGGAAAAATGCAGAACTATTCATTCATACCAGGTGTTTTGCTGAGAGCTGAGGATAACAAGCTGAATAAGGCGCAGTCTTTACCCTGAGAAGTAAAAAAATAACAATTACCTGCACTTTGGGCAAGGCTGAGGCAAGAGGATTACAAGTTTGAATCTTGCCTGGACAACTTAGCCAGACTGTTTCAAAATAAAAAAATAAAAAAGGGCTAGAGATATATAGTTCAGTGCAAAGGCTCTAGGTTCAATCCCTAGGACCACCAAAAAAAAAAAAAGTCTGATAATTATTATCATAACAACACCTATTTATTTAGACCTTAATATGTACTGGGGACAGCACTAAGGGTTTCAAATGTTACCTGTTTATCTTACAGCGACTCTCTCAGGCATTATGATTACCTCATTTTACAGATGAGACTGGGCATTGATCGGTTAATAATTTTCCCTAAGGTTATTAATTGCCCTAGGCTGTCTAGATTCAGAGTTGCACATAGGCACTATTGTATAATTACTAACACTGGAAATTAATTTATTAAACAAACACAAAAATATGAACCATAAAAGAAAATGTTCATAATTTCAGAGACATTAATACTAGAAATTTAATTTTATTTTAAAATCATGATGAGGCTAGCCATAGTGGCACACACCTTTAATCTCAGGACTCAAGAGGCTGAGGCAGGAGGATGTATGAGAATTTGAGACCAACCTGAGCTACATAATGAGTTCAAGGCCAGCCTGAGCTGTGTAGTGAGACCCTACCTCGAGAGGGGGGGGCACACACAAAAAAATCACCATAAGAGGAATACAAAGACAAGGTACAAATTGAGAAAAGATGTTTTTAAGGCATATAACTGACAAAGAATAGTTATCTGGAATTTATAAGGATCTCTTACAAATAAAAGAAGTAAAAAAGTAGCCAAATTTTAAAACATGGGCAGAGGAGATAAACAGGAATATCATAAAAGAAGCAGAAATGGCCCATAAACATAGGAGAGGTTGTGTACTGTGATAACCAGAAAAATGGGAATTGAAACAGTATGATCATTTTGTACCCAGTGGATTGGCAAAATTTAAAAATTAAGCAACATTGAGGGTTGGCATAGCTCTCTCATTTACTGCCATTGGAGTGCAAGTTGGTATGTATAACCATTTTAAAAAGGACTTGATGTTACTTGCTGAAGTCAGTATGTAACTCACAATCCTACTGTAAGCGCACACCCTAAAGACACCGGCAGTGACGTCTACAGTCCCTGTGCTTACATTAGCAAAAACTGGAAATGATCCAAACGTTCAACCGTAGCTTGATAAAGTTGTGGTGTCTTCCTATGCTAGGACGTCACAGAGCCACAGAGAGGAATTTCAGAAATGGAAAGAACCAGAGGAAAATATACAGCGTGCCAGGTGTGGTGGTACTGGCCTGGAAGCCCAGCTACGCGAGAGGCTGAGGCAGGAGGATCAAAAATTCGAGGCCAGGGCCGGGGATTTAGCCCAGTGGTTCCACCACCTGCCTTGCAAGTGCAAGGACCCAGGTTAGATCCCCGGTACAAAAAAACAAAACAAAACAAAAAACATTCGAGGCCAGTCTGGGCAACTTAGTAAGACCTTACCTAAAAAGAAAAAGGCTGGGATTTTACCTCAGTGGCACAGAAACCCCCCGACAAGAAGCATATGGGGTGATGCGTTTTGTGAATATTTAATGTCAAGGAAAGCAGAACCATATATGTTTGGGTGGTAAATACATATATGATTAAAATGGAGTAATGGAAAGCAATAAAATTATTACCATAAAATGAAGGACAGAAGTTACTCATGGTGGGCGAGGAAAAATGGACTCAGCAGAAGTTGTTCCCAGTTGACACTTTCCATGATGTCTAACTGAATTTGTTTTCCAAGTGGACAGCCAGTCGTTTCAATACACTTTTACCACTTCCTTCTGATACGTAAGTTTTCTTCTATTTCTTTGTTGTTGTTGTTGTCGTCGTCGTCGTCGGAGGTTTTTTGTTTTTTGAGATAGAGTCTCCATATGTAGCCCGGGCTAGTATTGAACTTTTGGTGATCCTCCTGCCTTAACTTCCCGAGTGCTGGAACTACAGGCGTGTTTCACACTCTGGGCTCTGATTTGTTCGCATATCTTCTAACTTTTCTTTTTCCTCTCATTTATTTATTTATTTATTTATTTATTTATTTATTTATTTATTTATGGCACTGGGGATTGAACCAGGGGTCTTAGTACTAATACATCCCCAGCTCTGTTTTGAATTTTAAATTTTCAGACAGGATCTCACTAAGTTGCTAGCTGCCTAGGCTGGACTCAAATTTGCAATCCTGCCAGGCATGGTGGCGCACACCTGTAATCCCAACACTCGGGAGGCTGAGGCAGGAGATCACTGTGAGTTCGAGACCAGCCTGGGCTGCATAGTGAGTTCCAGGTCAGTCTGAACTACAGTGAGACCCTGTCTCAAAAAAAAAAAAAAAAAAAAGCAATCCTTCTGCCTTAGCCTCACAGAATGCTGGGATTACAAGCATGCCCAGGTTATAGTTTTATCTATATTTTTTCCTTTTGCAGTGGTAGAGATTGAACCCAGGGCCTCATATACACTAGGTAAGGGCTATACCACTGAGCTACACCCCAATCCCTTCATATACATTTTTTTTTTTTTGGTACCGGGGATGGAACTCGGGTCCTTGTGCTTGCGAAGCAGGCAGTGGAACCATTGAACCAAATCTCCAGCCCCCATCACATACTTCTATTACATCCTAAGCTGCCTTGTATAGTTGACTTCTTTCTGAGCTCTATACTCTCTCTCTCCCTCTCCCCCTCCCTCTCTCTCTTTTTTTCTCTTCCTTCTGGTGTGGTACTGGGGATGGAACCCAGGGGTACACGACCACTTAGCTGTGTCA